AATAACCAAATTATGGTAGGAAACAGAAGAAAGTTTTAAAATAAGTAAGTGTCCTCCAAGACATTCCAAAAAATGCTATACACATTAAAAACAATGTGCTGCACAGGGACCTGCACCAAAGCAAAACAAGTAAAAAAAAAAGTCTTCAAGAACTGATTATAGGAGAAAGCACAGAAATACAGAAAAAGTAAGAACATCAGAATGGATAAGTATCAGGGTAAATACTGACTGTATAAAATATTACAATGTACTGTAGTGTTTAAAAAAATACAGAATTTAGCTGCACAACAATAATGTAAAAAGTGGAAGAGAAATACATCTCTCTTGAAGGATGCCAGAACAGGCAGACAAAAGACATGAGTGAATATATAAAAGACATCAAACATAATTAACAAATTTAACATACTTACCACACAGAGAACACTACTCCAGGGAATACTTGTTCTTTTCAGATCATATGGAAAATTTATCAGAATTAACCATATGCAAGTATACAAAACAAGCTTCAACAAATTTTGAAGAACTGAAATAATTCATAATATGATCTCTGATAATACAATCTAGAAAAGTCCCCAAATGTTTAGAAATTAAGATAATATACATGCAACAATCTATGACCATAGGGAATAGTCATTAAGACTGTAATAATTCTGTATGGTGACAGATGGTAACTATCACAGTGAGCATTTTGTAACGTACAGAACTGTCAAATCACAATGTTGTACACCTGAAACTAATGTATCATACTGTACTTCAATTAAAAATAAACGAAACGGTCACACACACACACACACACACACACACACACACACACGGGAATATTATTCAGCCATAAAAAGGAAGGAAATTCTGCCACTTGAGACAACATTAATGGACCCTGAGAGCATATCACTAAGAGAAATAAGTCAAACAGAAAAAGACTAATATCATATTATCTCATTTATATGTGGAAGCAAACAAAACAAAACAAAATAAACAAGCTCACAGATACAGAGAACAGACTGGTGGTTGCCAGAGGCAGGGGACGGTGGGTGAAATGGGTGAAGGGGATGAAAAAAAGTACAAGCTTCTAGTTATAAATATATAACAAAACTAAGTGAGTGGGATTTATGCAAGGGTGGCCTAATATTCAAAAATCAGTGTAACTGGGCACCTGGGTGGCTCGGTCGGTTACACGTCTGCTTTCGGCTCAGGTCATGATCCCGGAGTCCTGGGATCCAGTTTTTGCGTCAGGCTCCCTGCTCAGCGGGGAGCCTGCTTCTCTCTCTACACACCCTTTCTTGTAATCTCTCTCTCTCAAATAAAATCTTTTAATTAAAAAAATCAATATAACTGACAACATTACTCAAATAAAGGAAAAATCTAGTTGTTATCTGGTTATATGCAGAAAATTCATTTGATAAAATTTAACACCTAAGCAAAACAGGAATAGAGGAGAACTCCCTTTCTCTGACAAAGAGTATCTACAAAAACATATCTATAGCAAATAACATACTGAGTGGTGAATTTTAAATTTTAGATCACTTTCCAACAGAGATCATCTGTGAGATAAGGATGCCTACTATGATCTCTTCTATTCAACACTGTACTGGATGTCACAGCAATACAGTAAGAAAAAGAAAAAGAAAAAGGACTGGAAGGGTTTAAAAACTGTCACTCACAAAATATATGAACATGTATGTAAAAATCTGCAGATAAACACTTAGTATTAATAAGTGAATTCAGCAAAATCACTAGACACAAGGTCAAAACACAAATTGTTTCATGTACCAGTGTAACAGAAAATTCAATCTTTACCCATCCCCATGAATACCCTAGCCAGCTAAGCACCAAGCGTTCAGGGACTGACTGGGAACTTGCCACCAGTCTTGGCACCCTGGCTGTGTAAGTAACAGCCCCAAGGCCCTGAAATGCAAACTAAGACCTAGTTAGAAAAGCAGCAATGGGGTGGGAATGACTATAAGCAGGGCCAAGTCCGTATTTCCAATGGGAATGGCATCTATCTGCCTCCTTTATCCCAGCAATTAGAGCCTCCATTTTTTATTGCATCTCATTCATAGCCCTTTTTATTTTGCCTTAATTAGATTTTAGTTCTTTTACTTCTCCAGAAAGGGATTCTCTAGTGTCTTCTATGCTTTTTTCAAGCCCAGCTAGTATCTTTATAATCGTTATTCTAAACTCTAGTTCTGACATCTTACTTATATCCATATTGATTAGGTCTCTGGCTGTCAGTACCCTCTCTTGTTCTTTTTTGAGGTGAGTTTTTCTGTCTTGTCATTCTTGCAGAACGTGGTCTCTTTTCTATTTGTAGAATTGTAGCAATTCTTTTCTTAGATCTCTGGATGAGTTTACAGGTGTTTAGATTGATTTGATAGCAATCTAGCTGAATTCCTGGGACCTGACAAAACTAAGGTCTCCAACTTCTCCGCCATCCTGGAAAGTCTCCAATTCTGTACTACTTCAAACAGAGCACTTCTAATGAGTGCTAGGATGCAGACAGTCTGACTGGACAAAATACTAATATGTAGGTACTGTTCTGTATCTCCAAATCCTTATTTCAGACTGTTTTTCTCACCTGATGGAACAGGACAGAGTGCTGTCCACTAGTTATAGCAAGGAAAAAAAACCCACACATGAACCATCATCCTAACAGTTACACCATAGTGGGTGATAGATGCAGGATGCCAAGAACTAGTTATCTGACAACAGTAAACCCCAACATAAAGGAAGAGGATAAACGAACTCCTGCTGTAATAAACAAACCCTAATTTTGTCCCTTCCTTATCAAACAACCTAACATTATCAGTTTTCTGTACAACCAGAAAAGGCAGAAAGTGGAGGGGATATGCCAGAGAAAATCTCCCCCTCCTGCCCCCCGTAAAAAAGGTGAAAGGAACCAGCCCTGCCACATCAGAACAAAAACAGAGGTAGCAAACTGTGATGTAAAGGCTAAGGGAGATAGGACAGTAAAGGACATTTAGCTTAATTTAGCAACACCAAGAGCTCAGAAAAAAGAGAATGAGCCCATCTATTGACTCAGCAACACTTTTTCTATGACAGTATAGTGTGTCAGAGGAACACTGTACTCCTCACAGGTTTATTGTAACCAAATCTTTGAAAGCAGCACAACTGCTCAGAAACTGCAAAGAGAAAATAAAGCAGCATTTTAGCTGGCTTCTAAGGCTGCATTCCAGGGTCTAACGAGGACAAAGAACCCCTAGGAAAATTATCTGCATTGGGCAGTAAGAAAAAAGGCACATCAGTCTTTGCATGCATATTAAAATTAATTAACTAATTAATTAAAATTAAAAGAGATCTGACAACCTGGTCTAGGGCCAAAAAGGTCCCCAAAGATTTTAACTGTCTGGAAGGTGGTTTCAGAATTTCTAACAAGGCCTCAAAAGTATTAAAGTATTCTTCACTTTGAATTCTTACTAGAGCATGATTATAGGATTAACTCTATATTGAGAAACCTGCTGAACCACTACGGCAGATTTCTGGTTGCCTTAGAAAAATACTATTTAAACTATTTAAAACGCTTAACACATGGGGGTTGGGGGGACATGGACATGGACAGAGCCAGAGAGCCTAGACCAAAAATTAAGTAACATAGTTCCTTACAATCAGTAGCCTGGTGTGTCTATATTCATACTGAAAATAGGTCTCAAAGAAACAATCCCTCAAGGACACACACGTGTGTCTACAGTTCATATACTTATTATTCAAAGAAAATATCTATTGAGCACCAACTGTGTCATAGGCAGCCCAAACAGGGGTGAACACAGCAGGCTCATGAAACTTAAAGCGGGGACCACTTACCCCCATTAACTAATAACCAATTACCTTCTGTAGTAAAGCATTAGGAAGGAAAACGTAGTATAATGAGAAAGAATAAAATAGAGGTTTAAAAACACAGGCAACCTTTTAAGTTGACTGCTCCATCCAAGCTGTCATTTTAATTAAATCAAATTTTATTTTAAATGCACCAGAAGAATTAAAAATAGCAAAGTCTTATGTAAGGCTAACAGTCACCCTTTACAGTTGCCTGTTTTCTAAAGCTAATTTGCGACCAGAGTTTATCTGTATCCAAAGGGATTCTCCAGTAAGGCAAAATGGTGATTGGGAAGAGTTAACCACCAATGATTTTTAAGACAACTGAAATGTAAGGCCAATTTAAAAATACCTTTTTCTTCAATTTTAAAATATTTTTATTAGAATTGTTACTGATTGGGGTGCACCTGGGTGGCTCAGTCGAGTAAGTGTCTGACTCTTGATTTTGGCTCAGGTCATGATCTCAGGGTCCTGAAATTGAGCCCTGTGTCGGACTCTGTCCTCAGTCCACTTGGGATTCTCTCGCTCTCTCTGTTACTCCCCCTGCTCGTGCACACACGTGCATGTGCACTTTCTCAAATAAAATCTTCTAAAAAAATAAAATAAAAAGTAATTAAGCACCCCAAATCTACATGCCAAACCTTTCTTAAGCATTTCCCTTCCCTTTAACCACAACACGTATCAAATATCCAGGTTCTTGCTAAGAAATTCAGTACAGCCTCTGCAAAGAAGTGGCTACAGTAAGTTAGCTACCAAATATGACAATGATCACTGTTACAAGGTACTTACCAATCTATTTCCTATGTTCTTAGTCAAAGGCCATTACATCCATACAAAGTAAGTTACAAAGTTCAACAAAGCTTTGCAATAATTTCCCCTTGTGCATCCTTATGGTCTTCCTAAATACCTACAGTTCACTCACAGCACTTCTAAGATTCTGGCTCAGTGGGAGTGCCTTGCTACCCAAGAATATTTAACGGTGCAGCCCAGGTGTTTTGTTGCAGGTAGTTGTTAGTCTACACAGTGGAAACAGCACAGTGGAATAAGCAGTCTTAAATCGCTGTCAAGAGATTCTCTCAAACACATACCTAAACATTTGGCCCTGGGGATATATGCTTAAGAACCTCTGTTTTGCTTTCATAAACAAAGACCTGTTCAGCAATACTTACAGTTAACATTGGAGTTGTCAACAAGCCCCACGCAAAGAATTCTAGGAAGATGACAATAGCAGCATGATATACACTTGGTCTGCCAAAGCCTTGTAGCTAAAAAAGGAAGAAAGTTATTATGAAAAATAGTAGACAGATAAAAGTAATCAATTTTGCTAAAATGGTATCTAACACACAAAATAAAGACTGTATAAAGTAAGCTTAGGACCTACCTGTATTATATATGATAAAACTTCATTCTGTGGCATCCCTGATTCCTTGCCTAATCACAGAAGGTGGCAAAGTTATAAACTTTTTCACTTGTCCCATGACTGCAAATAACTGAGCTTTGGTTGAGAATCAACTGGGTCTTTAAGAGACTGAGGTTCCAAGACCTGACTATTCTGTCTCTTACTAATTGTGTCCCTCAGAAACTTGGCCTTACTAAGCCTGGTTTCTCTAGCTATGTAAAGAGAGAGGTGGGCATGTGGGTCACTTGCTCAAAAGCTTCAGGAGCAGCAGAGATGATTTAAATGATGGGGGAGGAAGAACAATAAGGAAAACACAGTCCATACCAGGGGGTCAAAATCCAACTTTCTGTTTGTTACATTTTAAGACTGTATCTATTCTGCCAGTTGTCTGCAGTTTATGACTTCTGGAGATAAATCTAAAATTCCCTTCAACTTAATGTTGATTCTGTGACAACGCTTATTACAAGATTAGGCACCTTGCTACCATTTGGTAGTAACTGAAAGTGATGCTTGCAAAAGACTCTGTAAAGCCCTCACTATTCTTATGCTTATATTTTTAAGTCTTTAAAAGGTAGAAGTAAATCTACATTTCACTGGAATTTAATCGTAAGGAAATAATCAGACAAATCCAGATTGTGGGACATTCTACAAGATAACAGGCGTGGTCTCCTTAAAAATGCCAATGTCATAAAAGATGAAAGTAAAGGTCAGGAGACTCATACATATTGAAGGAGGCGAGAGTCACACAACAAAATGGGGGATCCTGGAGGAAAAGGGAACAAAAGGATAAAATATGAATATGGACTTTATATTAATCATTTGGGTATTCTTGATGTCTGCAACTTACCGTCAAACGGTTTGGCAAAACAACAACAACAAAAAAAACGGAAAAGATACATACATACTTCCTAAAGCAAATGTTAATAAATGCCAACTGCTGAATTTAGATGAAGGGAATATAATTTTACTTTTGACTTTTTTTTGTAGTTTTGAAAATTTTCAAAGAGTCAAGAACAAATGTTACTAAAAATACAAACTCGTGAATTTCTAAATTTTTGCCATGTCCAATGAAAAGTACCTTTAAATGCCATTAAATAAGACATTTGCAAAAACAGAAAGCATTTTACAAAGTTAAAAAAAAAATTTAAGCATCTAACAACTCACCCCCTCCAAACCAAAAGGCCTTTAACATAATCTTCCAAAAAGGAATAGTTTTCAATAGTCCTTTACCAACAGAATAGTGAATGGAAATGGCAGCAACTATTCAGCCTCTGCCTGTGATTAAGCTTTCTGAGACCCTCTTCGTTAAGTCGTTCTAGCCGCTAGAGACAGAACCTTTGCCATCACCCTTGGCTCTCCCCACACTGCCCTCCATCTAATCCTCTACCACCTCTTGCCCAGGTTACTGAGTAGCTTTCCACCCTTGCTCCTTCACCCACTGCACTGCAGCCACAGTGCCCCCATTTAAATGTAAATCAGATCCCAGCAACTCCTCTGCTCCACCCTCTTAGACTTCCAGGGCAGTTAGCCCCACATACCACTAGTCCAAGGAGGTCCCACACCTCCCTATCCCCTTTTGTTATGCTCTTATTGTTTCCTAGAGGATTTCCAACAAACTTTAGGATTCATTTTTGTCTACTGCCCATGGAATGGTAATTTAAATGCTATGAAGGAAAGGATTTTTGTCTTTGTTCAATGATGTATCCAAATAGCCCTTCTCTCACCCCACTATAGTAGTAAGCACTCTACAAAATTTATGAGATGGAAGAAGGATCTCTTCTTCAGAGACTAACATCTTTTCTCTGATCTTTTAAACAGCAAAACCCAAAATGTAGAAAAAAATTTGAAGCAGATGGCCCAGTTTCTTCAACAAGGAAATGGTATGGTCAAAGAAAAAAAGAAAAAGGAGGGAGAACTATGTTAGTATATAGATTAAAAGAAATCTAAGAAATATTAACCACAAGCAATATTCTGGGACTTTGGGGTTTGACTCAAACTATCTGGAAAAAAGACAATTCTGAGACAATCATGGAAATTTGAAAATGAACTGGATATTAGATGATACTAAAGAATTATACTCTTTGTAACATAATGGTATTGAAGTAAGGTGTGTTTTTTAAAGATCCTTATCTCTTAGAGATACACACTAATGCATTTGTTTGTGAACTGACAGCATGTTTGGAATCTGTTTTAAAATCTACAGAAAAAAAAAACTAGAAGCAGTGGCAAAAATGAATTTTAAAAAAGTAAAGTAGCCTATATGCACTTACTAATAATTTCTAGTTATTTGGGTAAAAATTCTGATAGTCACCAACTCCACACTACAAAACAATTGCTTCTGAACACTGGGTGAGCATGTCAATAAATAGCCCAATACTGCTCTTGAATCATTTTATTTATTAAGCATCATGCATACAAGAATCTCAAAAAACTCTGAGAACAGCGCATAGGAAGCATAAGAAGGTAACTCTTATTTCTCATTTGCAGTTTCCAGGGTTTGGTGCTTTTGTAGGCAATAAAGTTCTATTTATGGAGACCACTGGGATAGAGATCCATGTAGTGGCAATGCTGATTAAACATAAAAACAGATACACACTTTAATCTGTGTGATATATTTTAGGACATTATGCTATTTTAACACCTTGCAAAAAAAAAACCAGACAACCTACATTTTGTTTATATATTATATGCTTAGATGTATCAATTAGAAGTTGTTTAACAAGCATCTCTTCTAAAATGCAAACACTTTCTTATTCTCACCTCTACATAAATTACTTTAATTGAACTATCAACTATTCCTAGCCAGTACCAGTGATACATGAGAGAAATGTACTATGACAGGCAGGCAGGCCTTGGTACGGTGGGAACTTAGTGTGGGCAACTGGATATAAGAAGGTGACACAAATAAATCTGCCTTCCTTCCAATTCTTCCTAAGCTCTTGGTGGCCAGGATGCTGATGAAAAAAAAGGATCACAAGTTTCTCCCTTAAGTTATCTGAGCTAATCAGAAAAACTTTAATACAACCTAACCAATTATTTCCAGTTGAGCCTGATCTAGTGCAGCCTCTCTGGATCAGTTCAACGTCTCCTCTCTCCATTTGCCCCTTTATAAATCAGTATGGAACAACCTGAGATGTTTAGATGATAAGTATGTGGTGATGTCTTTATTCACTCATACGACTATCTCTCCTACAGAGGACTGCAATGGCCTCTTAACTCTAACTTGACTTCTCTTCCCTTCCTTCTTCAAATCTTTCTTGATACCATACTCAGAGTGATCATTCTAAAATACCTATGTTTTCCTATGGCACCTGCAGAAGACTGCAAAAACTGAGCTACAATTTCTGAATCTCATTCCTGTGCACATAATCTTTTTGCAATATGTGCTGCCTATGCCATCAAAAGGTAGAGTCTATTTCTCCACTTCCCTGGATCTGGGCAGGCTTAACAACTTGACTCAAACCAAGAGATGTCAAGTGAAGTGACAACATGGACTTCTGAACCAAGGCCTCCAGAGGTCTTCAAGACCACATGCAAATGCCTTCTTGGCACAAGCATATTAAGTCCTCCCTATTCAGGCCACCTAGGCCAACGAGTGAACAGCCATTACCAGCTGCTTGACAGAGGAACAAGGCTGTCTTAGATCACCCAACTCCATCAAGCCTGCAGATGACTACAGAAGCATGAGTAACTCCAAACAAATCCAGTGAAGAACCCCAAGCTGACCCTAGCCCAAAGAATTGTCATAAATGGTTGCTGTTTTATTTTATTTTATTTTTTTTAAAGATTTTATCCATTTATTCATGAGAGACACAGAGAGAGAGAGAGGCAGAGGGAGAAGCAGGCTCCCAAGGAGCAGGGAGCCCGATGCAGGACTCGATCCCAGGACGCTGGGATCATGACCTGAGCCGAAGGCAGAGGCTTAACCATCTGAGCCACCCAGGAGCCCAATGGTTGCTGTTTTAAAAACACTAAATTTGGGGGTAGTTTCTTATGTAGCAATCATTAAGTGATACAACCGCCCCCCCTTTGCCCTCATGATTAAGTTTAAACTCAAAACTTTCTTGAGATCCCTTTTGTAGTTCTCCAATCTCATCCCACGGTCCACATATAACCATGAAAATCAATAAAGGGAAACCGCCCTAAAATGGAGCCAGAAGGCCCTCGCTCCAGGGTGCAAACTGATGATTTTCCTAGCATACTGAAGTTAGCCGGTAGGTGAATAAAACACATGGTCCCCAGCATTCTGTTTAAAAGACTGTCTGTATACTATGCATCATAGGAAATACTGAAGCACTGAATTTTTTTTTTTCTAATTTGAGGAATTAACATTGTATTGCCTGAAAGGGAAAACAACTTCTAGACCCAGTCCTGTTAACTAAGCTGACCATAATTCTCTCCCAAAGAGAAGTGACTAGAGGTTTAACATCACTCTGGCTATTCAGAACTGTAATACCCTTTAAAAATAAAAGGTACAGGGCGCCTGGGTGGCTCAGTCGTTAAGCATCTGCCTTCAGCTCAGGTCATGATCCCAGGGTCCTGGGATCGAGTCCCACATCGGGCTCCCTGCTCGGCGGGAAGCCTGCTTCTCCCCCTCCCACTCCCCCTGCTTGTGTTCCTGCTCTCGCTATCTCTCTCTGTCTGTTAAAATCTTTTAAAAAAATTTAAAAAAATAAAATAAATTAAAGGTACAAATAGACAATTCAATAATAATAGCTGGAGACTTCCATACCCACTTCTAGTAATGAATAGAACAATTAGAAGATCAACAAGGAAGGAAAGATTTTAGTAACACTACACTAACTAGACCTAACAAACATTTACCTGAACACTCCAACTACAGCAGTATATTCTTCTCATGTGTAC